GTACACAACCAGGACATCACACAAGCGATAAACACCCGGTGACACAAAGTGTCACCATGCGGATGAGAATCACCCATGTAGAGGTCCCGGAAACCCGTTCAGCCGTTAGGCCATATTTCAGGCCCGGCTATATTTAGGACAGCCGGCAAAAGCCATGATTGGGCTTCAAAATAGCTAAAAATTGCTTCCTACAAGGGGATGACAAGATTGCTATAGAAATGCCTCACTCAGACAATTGCCTAAAAGGTCTGCAAATAGCTATCACGATTTTAAGATACAAAATTAACATGACGTGATAAGGGTTACTGCAGTAAAGATTATATCAAGAAGTTAACTAAACAAACAGATTTAGCGTAGATCAATTTACCACATTTCCTGCAATTGCGTATCTCCTTTTTCCACACTTAATTTGCCTGTTGTTTTGTCCGTTGATAAAACTCGAATCGAAACGTCTTGTCTTTTTTCCTTAGTTGAGATTTCAAACCATACTTCATTCAGTATTTAATTCACAAAGATTAAGAGATTGTGGCTTTTAATCACTACATTTAAAATTCTGAGCAGCTTTCTGTCATTTACGTCTTATCTTGTTGACTACTAGTTACCGCTTGGTTAAGGTTTCTTTGTTTAAACTGCGTTGTTGAGCTGAATAAAAAACCGAAATCACAACACTCGACAATTGAATGCTGTCTCTAGCATAAACTTACTGTCTTTTGTAATTAACTTAGCAGCCGGTACGTTTGGTGGCTTCGACCAGTGTCTCTCTTGGCCAGAAGTTTTGCCTGAAAATTTATCTGGGATAGTCTTGGAGGATGTGATCTGTTGTCCCAGGTACCAGTCCACAAATGCACATGGCTGATTCGCCATTCTTAAATGTTGTATGGATGTCATTGCTGAGACGATTGTGTCCTTTTCTAAGGCGTAGAAGAATTGCTTGCTCTGGTCTGTACATAATATGGTAATCGTCTTGTGCCAGTTTTGGTGGCTTTCTGATTGATCTGATTATTCTCTTCTTCTGTTGATAACAGACTGGTATGTCAGGTTGTTCTTCAGTTTCACCTTCCTTAACTACTTTTTCCGGAACTTCACAGTGGGGCGGTAACAGCTGCATAGTTAGTTACCTTACACCGGTTGCCTAGTTCAGGCAGTAGTATCCGTATACCTGGTAATTTTCCAGTCTGGAGTGCTCGTAGTACCGCTGTTGCATCTGTCAGGAATAGCACGGGTTCTGAAATATATCCTGTATTTGGTAGCTTCTTGGCTGCTATCTTAAAGGCTTGATCTTTTCGTGTATTTACTTGCAACCGTCCCTTTATAGAAATCTTTCAAGACATTTATATGCGAAGTTCAAGATTTGACGTTTCTCACAGCCAATCTTTCTACGCTATCTGAAATCGATTTCAGTAGTCGATCAATCAATATGTCCTGAGCAAGGAGCGGGGTGGTGCGGGGACTAAAAGAAATCTTTTGTCTGCAGCGTTTGTCAAAGTTGTAGTTTTTTGTACACACTACAGCTAGAACAGACTACTGCATGTGTATGCAAGCAGAAGAAATGGAATAAAATAAATATATACAAATAACAGAATAGTAACATGTACATAGGCTACATACATTAGGGATGTGTTTAATGGTAGGGAACTCGTTTTGACCCAGCAACGCCAGGCAACACACTATTTAGTTCTTTCAATGTAGTACCCTGACTGCACGGAACGATATCCAAGCAATGGCAATAGATCAATAGCGTCATAACAAGACCTTGGATTTCACTGCATGATCGTGAATAAACAGCTTGGGGTGTTGTGTAGAGGAATGTTTGTTCTGTGTACACGGGTCTCTGCGTTCTGATCGTAGTCATATTGTTATTCCGGGTTATGCAGTTCTGCTTACTTATAACGAGGGCTGACTGAAACTTGTGGTGATCTTTCTAGATGGACATTTGACGATAAAACATTTCAGGTAAGTTCATGTGATAAATAATTTAAAGGTAAAAGGTTGCAGGTAAGTTTACCTGATAATGATACAAAACGAAAATAAAACGTTCTATACAAGTGTGTACGGGTTATACGATACAGAGGAAAAATAGTACAGGAGTGTTTTAGGGCACATGAAATTAAGGAAACATTGTATAAGTCAGTTTATGAAGTAAATCGTCTTAACGTTCACCAGCTGCAAACTTTGGCAAAAGTTTATGGTTGTTCGTCCACTTTTTGAATTTGGTCCTGTTCCAGAATTTAAGTTTTGCACATCCGTTTCACATATTTGGCTTATTTGTATGCAGACTGTTAATGTCGGCTTTTGTGGCTTAGGCGTTGCGAACGCGCTTCGTAATACCGGGGTGCCGTGTTCGATCCCTGCTGCGGACGGTTTGTCTTGCGCTGGTTTCGAAAGTGATACCGAGAGCCGACCGTCCAGTAAGCAATGGCAAACTACTGGACGTAAATTTGCCTAGAAAAACCACAATAGCCAGAAAGTGCTGGGGTTGGTTCTGCAACGTCCTGTAAAGGATACCCAGCTAATTTTTTTTTTTTAAAGACTGCCTCTCAGGCAGACACACTCCGACTTGGAAGTAAGCATCCCTAATTAGTAGCCTAGCGCGACATGCTTTAGGGGCAGTCTCTTGTCTCCACCCATACCCCCTTGCTCTAAAAAAACAAAATTTGGGTCCGCAACCCATAAAGGCATTTGTAAACGCACTGTAACAGTTTTAGGATAGGGTACTTGAGTATGAGGAAATGACATCAAATGACATCATAAATTGTTGAACAACCACATTCGAATGCCTGCTATCGTTAGGGAAGGGAATTTAAACCGAAAAATACTATTTCTTCAATAGTTAACATCACTGTAGCTAAGACATTAGGACAACGGTATTTAGCAGTGATATTCTAAACTAACGGTTACAGGACGCTTGAAACATGATCTAATACACAAATTTAATTACCGTGCGCAAAATAATAGACTTCAAAAAAGTCTACAGTCATTAAACAGTGACCTTTACAACTAATGTTAGTCTTGCGGTCTCAGGTTTGTTTGTGTGTGTGTTTAGCTTTATCTAGTCTAAGCTATTTTTTGTTTAAAATACTAGCTGTTTGGACGCAGAGAGATTAAGATAATACCACTAAGGACAACCGGAGCTGAAGTAACAGTTGGGATAGAACAGCTTTATGTTACAATTGAATGAAGCACACACAAAAATCAAATTATTGAAGGTAACCACAGAAACACATGTCGAGTTGCTTATTACAGAATTATATCCTCATTATATGCTTAGTAGTGTGAAAAATTATCAAAACAGCACCCTAGCTAATATAGACACACACAAATACTTGTCAATCATAAACATTTTTTTTTTTTGGTTCAGAGAGGTCTTTTGATAAATTAACATCAACTGCCTAAACAGGATTATGCTGTTGATTTTCTTTTTTGATGGACACGTCTTACTTAAATATACAAGGGGTTCAAAACTGGTTCTTTCCATCTCTGTGTGTATGGAAGTAGTCATATAACAAGACAGTTACTACAGTCCTGTCTGCTCTACAGTTATGGGGGGGGGAGGGGGCGTGCGGGGTAGTTGCATATCCTTTGTATGAGGTCGCAAATAAATCCAAGAATTTACTAGCCATTTGCGGTTTTAATATGGAAAAAAAAATACTTTCAGTAGCTTGCCGTTGCTTACTATACAGTCCACCCTCCTACTACTTCGAAATGAACGCAAAGCGGTATGTTGCCGAATCGCCCAAACCATTCGATATGTTGGAATTCTGAAAGAGCGTTCATAAGTCGCTGGCAGTAAGGAAAAAAATTTGCTTCCTGGCGCCTCAGGTGAGGTACGGAGTATCTACTTTTACATAGCACAGCGCCCTTTCAGTTCCCTTAATCTATGTGAGCAAAATCATCTCATACCCGTCTGGGTCATCTTGGGGCTAGTGACCCTTCCTGGCAAGTCGAGGATGTATGTCATTGTGTGACACAAGGTGGTTCTTGTGGCCCAGAGAACCAGTCTCCTAGTTTCATTTTGTACTTTCTCTAGATCTTTCCAGCTGATGTCTGTTGTTTATGAAAACCGTTGAAATTACGGTTTATCAAGTGTCATTATAACTAAATATCTGGTCGTGGGTAGGGAACCGAACATGCGGACAGATTGGCTGGTTCTCCACCACTTAGTGGTAATCTAGTTCATGACAGTTTAAATGTGGTCAAGGTCATTTGAGAGCGAGTGAACAGTGAGGAACTGCAAATAGGCCATCAGTCCCTGTGTGGGTTCTACTGGAGCAAACAAGCATATCGTAAGAAACGACTTATTTGGAACGTTTCCTTCGAAATCGGAGTGCATCTGCCTGAGAGACCAACAGACTGCTTACATTTAAAAAACAGATCAGTAAAACGGGTGTGCACGCAAAACTCAAGATCTGGAACAAGACTAAATTCCTGAAGTGGATGACCAACCAGAACTTTACGTCCGAGTATACAGCCATTAAAAGCGAAGAAGAAGAAGAAAATCATTATGGTGTAGAGAGCAAGATGCAACGAGGGGTGACCCTGGGAATCTGGCTGACGCTCAGAAGAAAAGCAAAGCTGACATAGAATAATGCTGCTAGTGCAGTGGCTCGCAACCTTCCTAATGCCACGACCTTTTAATATAATTCCTCATGTTGTGGTGACCCCCAATCCTAAAATTATTTTCGTTGCTACTTTATAAAGTGTGTTCATAACTTAAGTGAATATATGTTTTACGATAGTCTTAGGCGACCCCTGTGAAACGGTCGTTCGATCCACAAAGGGGACACAACCCACAGGGTGAGAACCGCTGTGCCACTGGCACCATCAGAATTAGAATTATGTGCTGGCTGTTGAATATGGAGACAGAGTGCTTATATCACAGACATACTCGGAATGTATGTTATGCCATGTCGGTTCTTAACGCAATTCAACTTCTAAATTGCATTAATATTGCTGAAACTGTATCATGTTCTTCTGTAATCCTATATAGATCATCTGGCACAATGTCAAGTGAATCCACTAACAGCGCTGGTTTGGTGAGCTTCCGTGTAGGCCAGATTTTGCTCATTAGTGGGTCTATTCTCTTTATTATTTCACTGGCAACTGCATATTGGGTAGTGAGACCAGTCGTGGACTTCCAGAAAGAGAGTATTTATCCCAATCAGGTAAGCACACTTAAATTTTTTTTTCTTTTTTTTTTTTGTGTGTGTTCGTTCCACGTTTAACTTTTCTGTTCTGATAATTCTGACACTTTGTCATATTTATTGGCATAAATATGTTTGTTTGCCACCTCTCACGCTTACTTAACCTGTCCCAGCAGTTACTGTAGACTTATTACTTTTAACCATGTCAGTGAGTAAAATATCATGTCCTCTTTCCAGTGAATTCCATTTGGCGCTTATTGTCTTCTTTCACTTATTTGTGTTTGATTAAAGCACGCTAAAGAAATGTAACTTCCCTCAGTGGACACTTTGGACACAATGCACTCATTATTGCCTACAATATGTCAAAAAGAAGACTTAATTTTTGACTTAATTGTATTCTCGTAAAGCTGTACAGTTCTACACTGCAATTTTTATGGGGAAGGGGGGAAGGAGGTGTTAGGTTTATCTAACGGGATTTGCTACAAATACTAATACGGCCAGTGGCGTAGCAAGGTCAGATGGTACCCGTTAAATACAATTTTGTCTCACCCCTACACACGCCAACTAAAACAATCATGTACCTTTTTTTCGAGTTAGGAAAAACAAACATTTTTTTGCCATTTTGACACCCCCCTCAGTGATGACACCCAGGGCAGCATACAGCTACCCCCTCCCCCCCCCCTCGCTTTTTTCCCCTTTCGCACGCCCCTTGTTATGCTTCAGAATCATCATCATCACGGGCCTTGCCGACTGGCAGGGACGACCATGTTTCGCCTCAATCTGCGATCCGCAAATGCGTGTATCAGTTCTATGTTTTATATTTATTCAACGGATACACATCATGGCACACAGGTATAACCCATAAGTGCTCCGTTCTTCATCTAACTCAAGCCTGAGTCTGAAGAATCTCAACGTAGTGCACGAACTTTGTTGCACCGGGAATGATCCAGAAATACTTTTTCATTTTCTATGTGCTCAACAATACACACAGGCGTCGGGTCCTTCTACCCACAGACCTGGGGAAATTACTAGAAGTCCACGTGAAAAAATCCCAGCCTTCACCGGGGCTTCAACCCAGAACCATTAGCACTCGAGGCAGACACCATGCCTCGAGACCACGCAGCCTGGTATGTATATTTCCTGTGTTGATACCCCTCCATACCATGACAAAAGAATCTTCTCTGTCTTCCTCTGTCTCTCTTTCCATAGAACTTTCCGGTGGTCACAACATGTTCCATTTTCCCTCTTCTCATAGCATGACCCAAAAAATGATGACTATCTCTTTCTGATGTCTGTGGTTCGACCACTCGCCTATTTAAAAAACGCTTCTGAATACTGTTCATATAAAAGTGAATGATTCTCGTGTATCCTGTCAGTTCCAATGCGTGCCGTGTTTCAGACCCTGGTGATTCGACATTATGGAATCTTTATCGCTTGCATTCAAACTGAAGATAACAGCGACAGTAGTGGCAGGTGTGAGAGCCTGTGGGAAAACCTCAACTTTATAAGTAAGTTTTACTCAGTGTATCTCAGCTTTGTCCGACTGTGTATCGGTTTAACAGTAAATTTGATTATTATATTCCCAACGTATCATTACATGTGTATCCCGAATGTATCAGTGCATGTGTCCATTTTCTCATAAAGTGTAATTGCTTTATGTTAGTTGTGTAAGTGAGTTAACTATTTTAACCTGCTTGTCAAAAAGTTTGATTATTTTATATTAACTTTAACATTACTGTTGATTTTTTTAAACCCAACTCTCAATGCAGATATCCATAGGATTAAGTAAAATAATACAGTACTTGAACTAATGAATGATTAAACGAATATCATTGCTCTCGGGATATTCCAACGCGAGCTCCGTCTCCTTCTTGAGTAGCAAATAAAGAGTTTCCTTACTGATTGTCACAGCTGCAACCTGATTAAAAGTTCACCTGTTTTCCCTCCTGAGGGTTGAAAATCGTCCAGACCATCTTCTCAATCCCAACTGAAACATTCTCTCCAGATATAAATGCTTCGTCTGTTCTATTGCATTGTTCATTTGACCTCTTTGAGCTGCACCACTTGCGCTGTATTATAAAGTAGCTCACCGCTCAGAGGGGCGACAGCAACTAATCTGTCAGCCTGCTCATTATCACACGCACCCGCAATGTCATGTGCAAATATTTAAAAAGTATATTTTTGATCTGTGTCTTACCAAGCGAGGCGAGGCACTTTAGGTGCAGGATACCAGTTTCTATTTCCGAAGCATGCTCTGTGAGTCAGTTATAACATGCATACATATGTATAACATAACCATTGACCCATTAGGGTCTTGGGGGTGTATTGATGGAAGCACTAGCACATAAAACCCACCATCTTTCTCTGTCTTCTGCTTGATGAATAAGTATATCATAACTTAGTCCTGTCCATTTCTTGATGTTGTCATTTCAGGTTATTCTTTGCCCTTCTCTTCTTCCACTACCTTCCAATGTTCCTCGAAGTACAGTCTGTGCAATCGAATCATGTCTCACCACGTGCCCAAACCAAGCTCGCTTACGACGTTTCACCACTGCCAAGTGAGGCTCCTGATGTCCTGCAAATGTGTATATTTTGTCTTTAAGATAAAATAGTTATAATTAAAACTTGTATGAGTGTAAACAGTGGCGTAGGAAAAGGGGTACGTGTGGTTCAGGAAACCCCGGGTGTCATCGCTGAGTAGTTGGGGTGACAAACATATGTTTTAAATATAAAAATTTTTGGGAGGTTGAGGGAGGGGGGGGGGGTGACCGGAAACTTTCCGCACCGGGTACATCCTTACCCTGCTATGCCACTGGCGGTTCTAAACTGGAGCCATTTGAAAGTTCTCATTACCGCTGCCACGTCCATTCTCATGTTCGATATTGTGATGTTATATGCGAGGCTTAAAACAACTTACATTCTTTTTTGCAATGAATGGAACCCCGCCCGCTCTATTTACCCGTTCACTGCAGATCCATCGTACATCTGTACATTAACGATTGCAGCTAATGTGTATTTTCATTGATCGATTCTCGCATCGATGACTGTTTCACCAGCTATCAGTTACCGACACTCTCTGTCCAAATCAAATATCACTCTGTGGAGTCTTGCTGAGCGGCATTATCAACGATTCCTACCCTGTGCAGTATCTTGTCAATCACGCACACATTTCTGACAGTAACTTTTGCCGACGCCACCCCGGGATCATCGCTGGGTCTAACGAGTCTGTGTTTTATGGGACGTTCTTAGCAGATGATTAGCCGTTCTGTGGAGAAAGACCCAGTGAAATGATTGTAATAATTCTCAATGTCATAAATAATATAGCTCGCACTTTTTTTTTCCTCAGATGCCCACACGGCCAGGTATGTCCAGTTCGTAATGTGCCTGGCAGCAATTTTGTTCGGTTGCAGCTTCACACTAGAAGTTGTACAATGTTTACCCACAGACAGATTCAGAAACTTCCTGGCCAAGAACCGAGTGGTTGAGATATTCGCCAGCATTGCCAGTAAGTTGAACCTATTTTTATAATTGGATAGTTTGGAAGAGTAGACATGGCGTTTGACTTAGACTGGGCGACGCTCGGATATTTTCACTTTTTATATACCGTTATTCTTTCATCTTCCATGATTTACAGGAATACTTCAGAACACGCCAGGAGTAGATGGTCGGAAAAGTGCTAAACAGCTGGGCATTTAAAAAAATATCCTAACGTGCATTTCGTGGCATATGTTCCTCACCACATAGGGCTACAGGTTACACTTGGCTAGTGTAGTCTTTATGGATGCCCTAATTATAACTTATTTAGAGGTTGAATGGGGTTTCTGAGCTCTGTCTTGTTTTTCTGCCATCCAGACTGAGATTTTAAAATATCTCAGGATGGTATGGCCATAGGCGCTGTAATCGGGTGGGGGGGGGGGGGTCAGGTGGTCCCTTGCGACCTCCCAAGTATTTGTGGAGGCTGGGTTGGGGGGGGGGGGTGGTATATGTTCAGTCTATTAAGGGCTATGCATGAGCAAGTAAATGATAAGGAATTTAAAGGAATAATCAGCAATGGCTGTTAGCAAGACCCAATAACTTATTTTGGAGTTCAGCGCTAGTGAAACATAAACGGCGCCTTTGGAAGGCAGCTGAATTTTTTAAGTCAGTCTGTATGGATGTTAAATATGGGCATAGTAAGTAAAAGTACATACAAAGACAGCAAATCAAATGGTTTGTTTACTTGGAGAAAATGCCTCTTGACGCCATACCATCCAGAGCATACATTAAATGAGAAGACGGACAAAGATCATGAGGAAGACCAAGAAACACATAGAAAGATAACATTGGAGAAACGGGGTGGGGGAAGATCTATTACATCTTAGCAAGCAAGTCGTAAGAGGCTACTTTGAAAGGAATAAATTCATCAGACACAAGCTATGAGAAGTCTTGTTTGCGGGGAGAAAAGCAATAAGTATAACCTTATATTTCCTTCAACACCCTAAGCGGTAAAAGAGGAAGTGAAGAAGAAGTAGAAGCAAAGGGAAAGAACTATTTTTACACTGTGACTCATCAGACATATGGTGCTGGACTTTGTTTCCAAATATAAACCAGTCAGCGCTCGGTGTGTGACGTGGTCAACTCATGCTGGCCACCTTTACTTTCATGGATAACTCCCGGTAGCCATGTTTACCCTGGATCAAACTAGGACCCCCCCCCCCCCCCCTTTTTCTTAATAGTGCTCTTGAAAAAAAAAAAATATTTAAAAAATGCATACAATGTGTAATCGAAACAAAGACCGTCGAGCCGGCAAAGAAAGTGTTTATTACACTTTATTCCCAAATTCTGGTATAAGCAGCCCTAAAATAATGAACACTGCGTCTGGCCTAGTTGGTTGACGAATCGCTGGAAGACTAGTTTTAACTTTCAAGTCTGATATAATAACTGGCGTTCAGGTTGTTTGCGCCATGAAAGGTTTTCCGCGTGTGGAAGTAAAATTAGTGTAATGTCTCGTAAATACTTTCTCGTTATTCTTATCGCCATCCCAGCAGACAAGTCTGACCATTTCATTGTCATATAAGTAATTAAACTGAATTTCCAACTTCCTTCCTTTACTGTGCTCCCATTTACCTGCGCCGTGTAGGTCCACCCAGAAAGCACGAATCACTAAGCCATCTGTACAGATGATGACGTCACTTGGTCAAGGGTACTCTTTGATGAGGGTTTTTATTTCAGCTTCAGCGGCTGTTTGGCTCCATCCATTCTCTGCAAATACCTGCCCAGTGTGCTCTTGCGTTGTTTCTGGTGCGTTCCATACAGCACCGATCTTGACATGTTCCACTGGCCAAAGAAGAAGGAAAAACTAACACAGAATTGGTATTATCTGTTGCTACACACTTTGTGATATACTGAAGATGTGATTCTAGTTCTAGCGCTTATGGACTTTTGCGGTGTGCAATGAGAATAATCTGTTGAAAAACTAACTATTACTGTTGATCCTCACAAATGTAACCTACACGACGACGTTAACAGTTTCTTATTAAAATTTCAGCTGTCCTAGTTCTGCAAGGAATGATCATTTTTGCCGGAGAGATCAAGAGCAAAGCAGAGAAGGTTTCTGGGCAAGAAGACGAACAGCCGGGGTGGTCATTTGTTCTGGCCATTGTTGGCCTATTCCTGTGTATAGTGGGTGTCCTGATGTCGATCATGTTCCGAGAGCTTCCTCTGCCCGGTCTGGACAAAACAGGGGGTTCTTGGCTACGCCCACACTCCACGCCTCGCAACAAAAATTCGCAGGACCGCTAGCATAAGATGAAATGACGAACCTGTTATACTGTAAGCTATGCAACTGAAATTAAACATTTTTTCGTATCCCCCCCCCCCCCCCCCCCCACGAAATATATATATATATATATATATATATATATATATATATATATATATATATATATATATATATATATTTTAATATCCAGAATACATATATGAGTGTACCCCTTGGCTCGGTACTATGGATATCGCAACTTTTCGGCGTTGATTCCCTGACAGATACCGTAATTCAAACAGTACTATTCGAATAATAATTTAACAGGAGCAAAATTCCGATACCTCTGTTCAGCCGTACAAACCAGTTGTAGTTTGGGGAAACTCGACGGCTTAACAAAACTGTGTAAAATATCTTCTGTCCCATAGATGGGAAATAGATCCTAACTTTTTTCCTTTTGGACGTTGCAGAACCAACCCCATCAGCCCCTGGCTGTTGCGTGGTTTCACTGGGCAAATTTACCCCCAGTATTTGCCATTGCTTCCTGGACGGTCAGCTCCCTGATATCACTGTCGAAACCAACGCAAGGCGTATGGCCCGCAGCTGGGATCGAACCCGGTACCCCGGCATTACGAAGCGTTCGCATCGACTTAGCCACAGAGCCGACAATTTGCTAGACAGCGAATATAATTAAACATTTGCAAAACTACCACATATGAAGTAGCATTACAACGAAAGGAGATCAAAGTTTGCTCGTGGCATTATCAGTCTTGGACTGCGGCGTGCTGATGGGTATGGTTGTTTTGAGTGCCCTAATTATAACGTCTGGGGAGGAAACACGGGATGTCTAGGATTTGTCCCATTGGACTGACATCCAGTAAGCGACCCCATAGAGAGAGTGTAGAGCCTTCGATTAGTAGTGGAAAGGAAAACCAGTTTAGCCAATCAAGGGAAATAGCACATTTTATTTAATTGATTTAACATCTGAAGACTGTAGTTGTGACCCTTACATGAGAAGCAATTACGTTCGTGATAAGTGAGCCATGAGAAGAGAGTATATGTATCGATCGGAGTTACCCTGTCCAACAACCCCCCTCATCCCAAGCGAGCTACGACACACATTATAACATAACAGTGTGGGGTGAAATTTTTCCTTTTTTGAAGCCCTCTTTGACTCTTGCCAGGGGCCGCAATATAGCCCGACCATAAATATGGTCTAATGGCTGAATGTGGTTTCTGGGACCTCTCCACGGGTGATCCTCATCCACATGGTGGCACTTTGTGCCATCAGGTGTTTAACGCTTGTGTGATGCCCTAGTGGGGTAAAAGAAGATAGACCAAGTAGGCGAAAATTCTTATGTCACAAAATAGCAGTTTTCTTCTTTCTTTCACACTTTACTAAAGTAACCAGTTTGTGACTTAAAAGGAGATGAATAAAACCAGTGGTCTCCAGCTAAGGTATTTTCATATGGCGCCCCCACTGAGTATATGTATTTTTTTTTAATGACTGTTAAAGCTGAAGATCCAGAGGATTATTACAAGTATAAATACACTCAATTTTACAACTACTCAATGCCCTCCGGGAAACTTCCTCACTCCCCCGGTTTAGACATAAACAAATAAAGAACTCTTTCCATTTCTTCAGGCATATTGGGTATATAGGGCTAGATCTATATTTTATAGACCATAGGGCACTTGGTAGGTGACGTAGTTAGCATCATGCCGGCCACCTTTACTTCCCAGAACTATATCTTGTACCCACTCAGGGATGGGTCAACCTGGCAGCCAGGTAATTTTTTTGAAAATAGTCCTACCCTAGTCAGGACCTGAATGTGCAACCTTCAGATCCACAGGCAAGCGTTTAGCCACTAGACCACAGCGGCTCCAGTTAAGACAGTGAGGTAAAACTACGTAATAACAAGAAATGAGGTTTATATGACTGTCTGGGATTTCTATTTTTAAGTCCAGTTTATCTACCGCAGCACTGGTGTTCTTTTTTTTTTTTAAAGCTTGTATGTAGAAAGATATTTTTACATTTTATTAGTGCATATTCATTATTGTTTTACTGTTCAATTGTAGTAAATATTGTGTAATTATGACTTTTGGGTCAGTATTATGAATCACAATTTTATGTTGCTAAAAAGGACCTAGAAGGTAAACTGTTGAGCATTGTTCACACAAAAATGTCATGATTTTTAAATACCCCGCCTTCTCAATCCTTTACTGATATACACTATGCCAAACTGCTGATAATTTATTATCATTATTATGAGAACTTAATTGCTGAACATGAGGTCCAAATTTCACCACCAATAGGCTTTGCAGTTAGGAGATCAAGAAGTGTGTTTTACAATTTCATGATCCTAAAAGTATGCAGGTTTGATTCCTGAAGCCGAATGGTTTATTTAAACAAACCAAGTTCAGGTGGCATTCAGACAGTGGTATGAGCCTCACATCCAGGAAGATATCAGAGCAGCATCATGTAAATACTCAAAAAGTCTGCAGGGAGTGCACTGAGCTGCAGCAAACTTTCTTTCAGGAGACACAACAGTTTAAAAAAATAAAAGAAAGGATTTTGTTCTTGAGATTTATTACCTGCTTAGAGCTTCTCTTTAATTCCTTACAACTTTTAGATGCTGTTGACTCACTGGGCTGTACAAGGCACCATCTTGTCTTTAGTGCCAATTCTAATGTGCTGTATAAGCTGAGCTTCATTTCTTTAAGGTTGCTCTTGGTGATGATGTTCCATTTTAGCAAGGTCATCCTCTTGCTCAATGTTAATTATATTTATATTTGTTCAACGTAGCTCCTGTGATAGTTGGTAGCAGGGCATTCGCGTTAGATGACCAAACCATCTGTCTGTTGCTCTTTAATGAATCACAAGTTTCAGGTAATGACTGGTTTCAGTCTTGGTCTTCTTCTAACAACCAGATTTCACTGCAATGACCACAAATAAAAACTACAGATGACTGTGACAAGGGTCGGGGCATCCAGAAAAAAAATACATAATATGCCACGTCTTGTATAGAACTGAAAGCATTTATCATGAAGTTATTTGACAATGAGAAAATGGCTTGTCCTTTGTTAAAAGTAGCTAACTGTTAAATCAGGAAGTTGCAACAGGAGGCTAAAAAAACAAACACAAAAAAGAGCACTGATACACCGAAGTAGATGGCTAAGAAATTAGAATAAGTGTCTATGTGTGAGTGTGTCTGTGTGCGTCTGCATTTGTTTCTGTGGATGTGTCTGTGTGTGCATTTATGTGTGTGTAAGTAGGTATGTATCTGGGTTAATGGGTGTGTAGTGAGTGAGTTGGCATGTGTGTATATGCGTGCGTGCGCTAGTGTGTGTATGCATGTTACCACCCATGCTTTTGTGTTTTTTCCTTGATATTCATAATATACATATTATCTTATTATATAACATGCATATTGGTAAAATGCAACTACTGTGTGAAAGACAGTGTTTGGAAGGGCCGAATGTAAAATGGGCCTGCTTGTCCAATCTGTGACCCTTTAAAAATAAAGTTTGTTCGTTCAAATGCACTAACAGTCAAACAGACAATATGTAACAGATTCTGATGCTAAGTATTAAGACAAACTTAATGACTATTATTTGAGCATACTGATTTCATAAAGAAGTAAAGAACACAAAATGAAACTCATAACAAATCACCAGAATGTTATAGCTGTTGTCAAACTATGAACATGTCACAGACAAACAGACAGGACAATAGGGAACTGCAGGCCATGCTTCAGACTGCAGTTAACAGTTTAGTGTGCTAGAATCACAAAAGTAATATAAAGTCATGATGTACATCATCCCTGATAAATTTTTTTTTCAGCAGGAAAGATACACAGACGAAGTGAATGTCTTTTTTTTTTTTTGGCGTTCACCGGCTTTAGGCCTAAACCTAGGTTGAAAGTTCTAGTTGTTCATCCACTTCTAATTTTGCAACTGAAGAGAGTCAAGTAAATGAAGCAATATTTAAAAAGGAGTAACCAATAAATGTTTTATTAGCTGCTTAGCACAGAACATTTTTAAACAAGTAAATGACAAAAAATATCAGTATAACCATACTTTAATTTTCTTAAAAATATTTCCATTTGAAAACCAGAGCTAATGAAGCCACATTATTTTACAGTTATATAATCTGTTTAATGCAAAGATTTTTAATGATACACAAAAGTCAAACAAAACAATCTCTAGAACCATCTCTTTAAACCAATTAACATCATAAATACCTAGTTCAAAAATATATGTTGAAGCTCCGCAGAGGTAAGTATAAATACTTTTATTTTCCAAGAGATACTGTATGATCACTGCGTAATTTTTTTTTAATACTTTAGTCAAAGAATAATGCAAACAGAAAGTGCAGATAAAATGTTGATAAGAATCCATACAAGGGCTTTTCAGAAAACCCACAGGGAACTACAACAGTGATAATGTAGTGTCTATAATTATTTTTTTTTGAAACAAACATGAATGCGACAAGATGCAGTGTAAAGGCAGGTTAAACTAAATGGTGGAAAACAACAGAAAATGCCAGACAGAAAACAACAGAAGAATGTACCAAGAGGACTAGACAGGCTGTTAATCAAGATATTCATGTAGCATATAAAAGACAACACAGAAAGTGTTGACAATTAAGTGCAGAAAACCTTCATCATGGAGGTAGCATATAACTGACAAGACGAGATAACCAGCATCCTGCCACAATCTTTAGTGGATCAGCCATCTGACCACAACTTTCAATACGATCTATATATGCATGTATATCTATAGTTATGCATATCTACAGTGCATGCTGTCTAGTCTACACACAGTGGACTGCAGATCACTTAGTAAAAACAGAGCACTCCAATATAACTGATAGGATGGGGATGTGGTTTTCAGGATTTGTACTGCATGCTTCTGTGGTCTCCTATCCTGTAGCATAAAAGAGAGGCCCCCTAAAATCTCCACAATCATGTACATTTGCGTATGATCAAACATTCATGTCTCTTCACGGATATCTGTCCTGGTGCTCTGGATTACACATAACAATATCCCTACATTACACAGTCTCAGACCTAGTATTGTTTCTTTAAGCTGATATCTGCATCTTCTAAATAAATCTTTCCAGTCAATAAAATACTTCTCAATGCTTTTCCCATTACATAACCAAAGAAACCGACATCTTTTTCTTATGACTCCATGTAATGCTCTTCTAATAGTCATTTTCTTGCAATCCATTTGTTGTAGACTCGGAAACCAATCTCTTTCGCATAAAAGTATTTTTTTTTTTACTTTGCACTATTTGAGGATGTAACTGCATTGTGCCATTTACCAGAAAATTATATGTCTGCTTATCACAGCTGACACATCCAACGTCTACAGGTATTTGTTGCCCAGGTTAGCCTTTCTGTAAAGTTCTTCCTAACTGGTTCATCCACATTAAAACATTTACTGCCATATCATCAAAACAGACATTAACATGGTACTTTTTGCTATCAAGGCTGTCATTGCCATTAAATAGAAAGCTCTCTAAAGTATTTAACTCTACAGACATTTACAACTCTCAAGAAGTACTGTAAAACATGCAAAATATTTCATCACTCTAAGCTAACACTACTAACCATATAAACTTACAACATTCTCTAGAGTGAAAGCTAAAGCTGTTTAGGGAAAACAACCGATTCAGTTGATGCATTCGTAATCTAATCGAAAAGTGTCGATGGGTGCATAAAATAAATTTGTCTTGTGTGACAAAAGACAACTTTGAAATCTATTAAACTGAAGAGTCAAGTACCTGGAATTTAGAAAATGAAATACAAATCTGTATAATCATTTCAACAAAATAAATATACTTTTTTAAGCATTAACTTAATTTTCGTATTTAAGATAAAACTTACAGCAAGCATCACATTATCAGCGCAAGCATTAGAAGGATGTAAGTTTAGATATAAAAGAAACATGCACTGTTGGCATATCTAAACATATTCTACACTCCCAGTTTCAAATTTGTTCTATTACTATAGAAACGGTCTGTACAGTTACAAATAATCTATAATAAACAACAAGAATGCACTGTGCAAGCACTTTGTAAAATTGATGTGCTTACATTTCTCATGAGCACAAAGAAATAGGGAGAAAAAACTAACAGCGATTATGACTATATTAATAACATTAACTAACACCAAATATTGTATGCAGGATCCAACAAATCATTCTACAATAGCACATTTCTTAAACCTGAAGAATACATCACACTTGTCAAAACACTCAAAGTATGAATGTTTCCATATAAAAAGAACCATACGCACAGATCACAAATACACTAAATGCATGTCTCTAACTAGGCCGCTGTGACATTGGAGGAGGAGGTACCATGTTCATTCCTGGCAGGAGGCTTCCAGCATTGCCACCAGACACTGCTGCATTTGGTCCCAACAAGATCTGAAAATACCATCGTACATACATGTTAAAACAACCATAACTGTTTACCTTGGAGAGGGAGGGGGAAATTGTGATTTAAAGAAAGGATGTCTTCTCTGCATTCACTGGATGTTAACTTCAGTGGGAAGTCTTAGCTGTTTGGTCTACTCCTGGACTTAAATCATGTTCCAGCACTTGATTTGTGTGTGCACATCAGTTCTACAGTTGTAACTTATTTTGTATGCAGACTGTTGGTTCCCTGTCTCTCATGCAGTTTTCTCTCAGACTCTTTTGACATACTTGTTAGGGAGGTAGTAGATCAACCCTCTTCCCCCTCCCCCCCCCCCCCCCCCATAGAGATAAGGAGAGGACTTTTTTCCTTGAGTTTTACCATTTCAGGAGAAACAAGACAGACTTAAGCATGCCGCAATGGGCAACTATTTAAGAATTTGCTGAAATTGAATGTATTGGCCCGACAGATACAGGTATCGCAAATTATCTGTAAACCACAACATGCTAATCACCCTTTTAAGTGTAAATATAGAAGAAGAAAAACGATGAGACTTGACTTCTCTCTACAGAGTGGTTGACGCCTGCTGACAGCAGTGTACAAAGTAGAAAAGTCAGTAGTTTTAGGAGGACAACCCCCACTCCCCACCTCATGGATCCACAAGACACCTACAAAGGGATGGAGTTACAACACTAAATCACATCCTACAGGGAATGAGTCAAACATCTTTACCACTTCTCTGCAGACATTTTATACCTGACAACCACAAAGGTGCAGTAACTAGCAAGCATATTCAAAATATTTAGATCAAAATCCAGTTGGGGATATTTTGCAGCTCAGCTTACCCTGATGTGTCAGGTGGATCCTTGATAACAAATACCAGGAAATGTACTGACATGAAAAGGGTCCTTACCTACTTTACTACAAAAGGAACAGTAGAACCTTGCAAACACAGATTTAAGTTGAACTGGTATAAGTCAAATCTATAGCTTCCAACACTTAATTAATTCTTCTTCTTTTTTTTCATTCATCTGATTGACATAAATGCACTGTGCCTGTTTACAGCAGAGCTGTGATATTTGCACCTGTTGGCTGATACATCCAATTTCATTTACGTTTGTTGGTTAGGTTAACTTTTCAGACAGTTTATTTGTGTGGTGTTCTTTGTCCCCTTATCTACAGGTGTTGCCCCTATAGACCCTGTCCAGTGCATCCACACAGGTCAGCCCTCAAGGGAAGGCAGGGGCAGATCATTGGCTTTCCTCATCGTCCAAGGAGGCATTCATAAATACAGAGCTAACACATGATACTCTGGTACTGGGTCCATTCAAGGAATCATCATGTTTGCTTAACCTCCCATCCGTATGTTAAGCTTACCAATCATGACAGGCTGTCTCCTCCGGAGACCAGCAGGGTGAGTGCCACAGGTCCTGATTTTTATTGGCCACACAAATGAGAACACTTGCCTTCGGCACATTAGCAAAATTTACATTGTCTCATCTAGAAACTGGCAAGAACATGCAGTAAGGCAGAACAGGCATGTGACATGGCTTTAGATCCTGCACTCTGGCACATGGGTCATTTTTAACTGCTATGTAGGCTTTCTGCCAATTAGTAGGCCCTTTTCAGTCTGACATTCGGAGCTTTGTTTCTGTGCCAGATCAGCACACTGCCAGTGGCAGGTTGTTGGGTTGTACTTTACCGCTGTGTCGACGTCAATGAGGAACAGCAAGGAATGTACAGAGATGGGACTGTTCCGTGAGTTACCACTGCAAGAGATGTTGCTCATCTAGGCTGCGAGCAAATCTTATTTTAGGGCTGAAATTACACTTGACAGTGTTTTAACCGAGGGTGTCATTTAGTAGTCATCTAGCGGATTTTACCCATGTTCCAAATGAGCTTTGATAGACTTTAGACAATCAGGTGAGAATCTGTTTAGGATAATATTTATATATAAAAGAACAGATAAGTTATACTCAACACTTGTTATGTAAGCAATTGTCTTCTAACTTATCTTGTTTCATCAATGTCATATTTATTAAATTCCTTCCAAAAATTTACGGACATTTACATAAATTACATCATTAACCAAATAACTGGCATAACTACTTTACCTGTCTTTGCTGCTGTAGATGCTCCTCATGTTGCTGAGAACGTTCTGATTCAAATACTACAGGCAGAATCAAGATGACCGCTGAGGAACTAGCAATCCACAATATATTTTTCACAAGCCAGAAGCCTGTTTTTGTTGCTGTGCTTACCAAGCTGCCTGTGGTAGAGCAGGCTCTACGAACACTCTCAGGAAACATTTCTGTAAGACCAACAAGTCGCTCAGACAAGCTTTCATCCTGCAAGCAAGAGATTATATCATATGCAGGTTAAATTTTTATGAGGAACTTACACCTGTAACTTCTTTACATTTTAATAATGACTGTATCACCCAATTATTTCTTTATTCCTTCCTTTCTCTTCTGGCCTCTTTCCTTCTACCCATCCATGGCTTCAGTTTTTTTGTGTGTTTTTTTTTAACTTTACTGCATAAGTATTCAACTATTCACTGGCTACTGAATGAAAGACAATGTCCTGAGTGCAGTGAAGTTAAGTTTTTACCTTATTTATTCTTTGCTACTTCCTTTTACCCTGTGCATGTTTTTTCTTAACTGTTTCCTTTCAAGTTTTTGCATAGTCCACTACTTTCTTCTTCAAAAACCTTTAGTATGATTTCCATCTTGCAAATACAATGAACTGTATGCAGTGTATGTCACCCAAAAATAATCAATGATGATTAAAATTGACAATGTCACTAACTTTGAATATCGAGGCTAGTGTTTCCCAACAAGGGATCCATGTCCCACAGGGGGCAATCTGACTATTAAGGAGGGCAATTTGAAAATGTACTTGTCAGAGTTACTGGGGGAGGGGAGGTTTAGAAAGGCTTAGGTGGAGCATAGGACAAAAGAATTTGAAAAACGTATCTATGCTCTATGATCAACAATGCAGATTATTCAGCAGAAGTTAAAAGGGTGAAAGCAATACAAAGATAGAACAGCATTAAAAGTCTTGGCTAAGCAGCAGCTCAGCAATCAAAGTCAAAATTTGTAAACTTCATTGAAGGAAGAAAATAGGAGATACCATGGACCAAGAAGAAAAGAAAAGCTGACAACTCAAAAGATCCAAACATCAAGAACAACTGGCTTTAAAGTAAACAGCTTGTTTTTTGCCTCAGAGACTGAAATACTTTTGGCAGTGTCAAACATCATGGTGGATTTTTAAAACAATAGTTGAGAGCATGGTACCGGGTAAGAGGGGCAGGGGTTGACCAGCAAGAAGAGCATAGAACATAACTTTAGGCAGGAAAGTACATGAGGTGGGAGAGCGATCCAATTTACTTTATGTTCAGCAAAATTTTGTAAGTCAGTAATGGACCTACTACATAATGATGATGAGTGTGATTACAAACTTTTTGGTACTATTAATTTACTTTTCGGTTGACCCAATATATTGACCATAATAAATCATTGTTTAGATGTGAGAACACTTTATGGTTGTTATTAAGTGTGTATTTTTTTTTTCTCATTGAGCTGGCACACAAAGTGCTAAATTTGATATATCTACAGTATTAAATACTTTCAATACAAATTTGGGCTATCCTCCGAATAACAGGCACATATTATGGAATGGCGGCCGCAAAAACACCCTAACAGGGCCTTAGTCACATGTCAATTGCGCACTTCCTGGCGACTTAATTTGCAAACTTCCGCCATCGCAGAGAGTATTCCTCTCACGGCATGGATTGGGCTAAACTAAATGGCTAGGACTCACGAGCAGCAGCTTCCACATCTCCTGCAGCTTTGCTCGTGAGTCCCAGCCATCTAGTTTAGCCCCAATCCATGCCGCTCACACGGCGTGTGGGATACTCTCAGGCAGTGGCGGTAGTCAAAGGAAGTTCGCAATTTACATGTGACTGAGGCCCTGTTTTTTGCCGCCATATGTGCCCCTTATTCGGAGGATAGTCCAAATTTGAAATACTAAATTATGATATCAATACATGTGTTGTGTAGAGTGTGCCAGCAAGCAAGTTCTTATTTTCTAAATGAAATTTGTGATTATTGTTTTAGTGTTTATGGTAATTACTAATTAAATGAAAATGGAGGTAACTTGTGAAAACCACCCATGATGACAACACATAGGTACCTAGAAATTTAACGAACAGCACAACTAAGTATTCATGTTCACTTGATGTTATGAATTGAAATCATGCACCGGGAAAGATAAAAAGTAATATTCACGTAAACTAACACTGTCATGATACTGTCATGATAATGATAGTTGATAGTATTAAAAAAAATAAAAGATGCCCTTGCCCTTGAGATTACTGTTGTTGCTTTTTTCAAAGTTAGTTGTTATGCGTGTTTCGTTTAGTGGGTGATTTTGAATTTCTATGATTTATTTCATGTGAATGACATATTATTTAATCGGTGCTCTGTGTTGCTTGTACTTAATCTATTTAGTAAAAAGAGTGTGATACAATTGAAATAAAAACACGTCTCACAATCACATGGTAACTGAAGTGAACTGGCGAGTTGTTGTGGCCCCTGGGTGCAGTCAAATTAGTGTTGGTAGGTGGCGATTGATGAAAAATACTAACACAGATAGAACTATTCAAAGCGTTCTAACTGGAAAATATTATTTTCAAAACCTGCACATTTTCTCAACACACGCCAGTGTTTAATAGTTACTCACCTCGTTAAAGTCCTCATCTTCGTCCTCGATAGCCCTCGACGTGCTAACATCCGCCATTTTGTGAACAGCATGAGAAAGGTCATTTCCGTTATTTGATCCCTAACCGGCTTTTCATCATCATCATGTGCATGTATGGCAGCAACTTTAATTATTAAGCATTAGCTCACTGCGTCGCGTTGGTCTATTAACTCTTTGAGTCCCAGGGGGTTTTTCATCAGAGGCCCAAAGGAAAGGAAAGGGGGGGGGGGGGGGTAAATGATTTTGACTTTGAACAAATTCAGCACTTTAAAACAAACCACACAACTGCAGCTGATGTGCAACATACACATATCATACATTAAAATGAACATAAATGTATAAGGATTTATATTAGCATACTGCTACAACAAACAATTCCACCGTTATTTAGTAAAGAAAACAGTGACTTAGTTTAAGGGGTTAGTAAATTATGAACAAGTTTTTTTCCACTTACCCACAATCTGATTCCAAAATTCTTAATATAGTAAATCCAAAATGCATCACAAAGGAAGGTACACCACTTATAAGTATGCACAACCAATATTAATTATGACGGGTATCAATATCATCATCAAGTCGGGGCCGTCTTAACAGCATTATGGGCCCCTAGACAAAGCGGTGTGCTGGGGCTCCTACGGCAACCACTCGCAGGAATGAAATGTTGATCGCGTGTACAACTGCTGATCTGATGATAACTTCTGCTACCGTCGATGATGAACTGCATTTCTAATGTCAAACTGTTTGTGTTAGCACTTCTGATGGCTACCGTATGCTTTTAATGTGTATGCTAGTGCATATGCTGAGATAGCTGTCTGTCAATCTCTCCACAAGGGATTGTGATGAATATTCTGTGTGTTTGGTGTTTTTCGTTGACACAGCAGAGCAACTATGGGGTGACCAGTTTGCTATGAAGCTGAAACTAAGATTACCAAGATTACCAGAAATGAAATGTAAAGGAGCCTCTTCTTCTTTTGTCTTTTCACTGATACCAGGTTGTAGCCCAGTGTTGCGAATTGTCTTGCTCTTCTCACGTTTCAGTTACACCATTAACCCATATTTTTCTTGGTCTTCCTTTCGCCTTCCATCCAGAAATTCTACTGTAAAAAGCTTCATATGCAGTCTGGTCTGGCTGCGTTCTCTCTAATGCTGGTATTCATAACCCTGTCTTGTTTAGTGTCGTTAGTGATCTTGAGGAGACAGCACATTTCACATGTAGTTATTTTCTGCTCTAGTGCCCTATTCACAGTCCTTGTTTGGCACTGATAACATACAATACTAATCATTTGCTCTTTTGCTGGAAGGGAGACATTTAGGTGTCTAAGCAGCGGGGCTAACTGGCTGGTATGAATGAATGAATTTCTACCCCACCAGGACATCACACAAGCGATAAACACCCGATGACACAAAGAGCCACCATGCGGATGAGGATCACCGTGGAGAGGTCCCAGAAACCGCGTTCAGACAATTGGCCATATTTATGGCCTGCCTATATTGCGGCCCCTGGCAAAAGCCAGAGTGGGGCTTCAAATAACAAAAAATTACGTCCTGAAAAGGACGTAAAGTAATAACTGGCTGGTGACAGCATTTGCCTTCTGTACTCTGGCTTTATCCTGAACAACAAGCAGCCATTAGAGTAGCTGGTGAAACGTTTGATTGGTTCGAGACGCAAAAGAGGTTGAGGCAGGGCTGCATTCTCTCACCACACCTATTCAATATATACTCAGAAAATATAATTAGAAGTGTAAAAAATGACCAGACTTGTGACAGTTATGATCCGCTCAAAATTGGTGGCAACCCTATTCCGGAACTCCGCTACGCAGATGACACAGTCCTACTTTCGAACAGCGTAAAGGAAATGGAAAATGTAATATTGTCTGTTCAAAAGCACAGTGAAGATAAAAATCTGTTTTTGAATTTAAAGAACACGAAAATAATGTCCACAGATAAAACTGGCTGTCACCCAAAAATAACAATAAATGATGAAGAAATTGAAACTGTCACAAACTGTGAATATCTAGGCTCTAAAATAAGCAGCAATGGAGATTGTTCAACCGAAATTAAAAGGAGGATGGCCATAGCAATGCAAAGATTGAACAGCCTTAAAAGTCTATGGTTAAGCACCAGCAAGGAGATAACAATTAGAATTTTGAGAGCATGCATCTTCCCTGTGGCTACATACGGATGTGAATCGTGGACTATCTCTCAGTCCTTAAGAAAGAGAATAGGGGCTTTTTAGCTGAAATGCTATAGAAAGATTATCATAATATCTTGGACAAAGAAGAGGAGAAATAATGACATCTCAAAAGATCTGAACACCAAGGAAGATTGGCTAATAAACAGCATCGTTTCTCGGAAGCTAAAATATTTTAGTCATTTCAACGGATTGGAAAAAAATATAGCAGAAGGCATGGTACCAGGAAGGAGGGGCAGAGGCCGACCGACACGAAGATGGGCACAGGATATAAGTGACTCCTTGAGTATGTAAGTATATGAGGCGGGAGAACTTGCGAGAGACCGAGTTTCTTTCAGGCAGACTGTGATGAGAGCGACGTTTTGCAAAGGACCTGCTACATGATGATGATAATGACTCTGGCTTTTATCTCTCTGTCAAGTCTGCCATTCTCTGTAAATATGCCCCCTAGATATGTGAGTTCTCAAACTTGTTTGATTGTAGTACCGTTAACATGAACGTTCATGATATTATGTTTCATGCCTATCCCCATGACTCTAGTTTTCGCGGTGTTTACTGGCATGTCAAACTTTGTGCAGACTTGATGTAAGGAGTCAATATGGTGTTGTAAATTATGTTCTTGATGGTGTGTTAGGCATTGATCGTCTGCAAAAATAAGTTCACTGATTTCTTTAGTGTCTGTATTTGCCTCCTGTGTTATTCTTTTCTTGTAGATCTTGAGTAGTCGCATTCACCACTGCCAGCTTGCTAGGCCCGTCGCGTGGCGGGGCAGGGACAGCATAATAATGATCGATAATATTAAACACATGTTTATACGAATATTATTGGACACTTCAACATAACTGGTAAAAGAACAGATTAGATGGACGTTATAAAATTACTTCGAACTTCTTATTATAGCAAGCATTTGCGGCATCCCTCCCCCCCCCCCCACATACACACACAGAATTTCTTTATTCATGGCTTGAAGCCAATGGTCATCATTGTGTTATTTTCCATGAGTGAAAACCTATTTAAACGATGCTCCCTATTGTACTAAGAAGCTCATTAAAAAAAAGCGTCAGTCTTGAAAGAGAACGCTTTCCTGTACAGTTGGTCACCATCATGCACAGGGGAAAGATTGTTAAGATTCTTTGATGCCCTAAGCACTTGACAGTTAGTGCCCCCCCCCCCCACAATACTTAAAAATGTTGGTCCTGTCCACCTTACCCCTGAGCCGTCTCAACAGCTTTATGAGCCCCTAGGAAAACCAGTGTGCTGGGGCCCCAGCGACAACGACTTAAAAGAATGAATTGTTATTAATCTCTTGACATACACATTTGTTATTCGTGAAGGGAAAGCTAACAAATACATTTGTTATAATAACAGGCGTACTGCAGTGGTGTCTTTTGTGGCCTATTCTAATTTTACTGGCAGTAGAATGGAGTTTGAAGACATCAAATGCTAACACCAGGAATGGAATTCAGTGGACCCTACAAAACAACTTAATGATCTGGACTTCGCTGAAGCACATGGAAGGGAGCTACAGAGTGAGAATAGACAGATGAGAAGGATGTGGGGAGAAGAAGAAAGACGGGCCCGTGTAGAGCATGAGACCATGAGACTCATACTCGGCTACACAAAATACACCTCTTGCCACACCCTGTGATATGTCCTGGGTTTACCGATGAAGCCACCAGACATATAATGACACATATTAAGGCTTACATGAGAGTATTAGCAGATATCGACCATCCCAGCACAACGCCACCAATTTCTTCTTTTTTTTTTTTCTTTATGTTCACCAGCTGTAAGCTCTGGCGGAAAGTTCTGGTTGTTGATCCACTTTAGGACTGCAGTCCTGGTCCAGAACCTGAGTGTTGCTTGTGCATCCGTTTCACAGATCTGACTAATTTGTATGCAGACTGCTGGTTTCTTGCCTCTCAGACAGATGCACTCTGACTTCAAAGGAAGCTCCAAATTAGTCGACTCTTACGACATGCTTTTGGGTAGGCAGTGGGTCTATTCTTGTTTTCCTTATAATAGGGCCCAGGAACCCATACGGGGACAACGCCAATAATGATTTAAAAGGGATGCGTCCAGTGTTGCCACTTTTCTTTGACAGAAAACATCCAAAAAGTAGTCAAAAAATATCTAAAAGCATCTACATTTGTGTGGAAAACATATAGAAAAAACATCCAAATGGAAAGAGTCACAAATTACATAGCAATTGATATGACTTACCCTATAGAATCATGTCGGCTCTGTGGCTAAGTCGATGCGAACGCTTCGCTTCGTAATGCCGGGATGCCAGGTTCGATCCCAGCTGCGGGCAATGCGCCTTGCGTTGGTTTCGACAGTGGTATCAAGAAAGCCGACCGTCCAGAAAGCAATGGCAAACTACTGGATGTAACTTGCCTAGAGAAACCACACAACAGCCAGGGGCTGTTGGGGTTGGTTCTGCAACGTCCTGTAAAGGATACGCAACTAACTTTTTATAGAATCATGTCCTCAAATTCACTGAAGTCTGCCTTACAAGATCCACATGATAAACTTAGCTTGGATGATGAAGTTGAAGCTCCGGATCCAAAATGACTCTGGTATGCTTTAGCTGCTCCAATTTCTTTTAATGCCCAATCAGGGAGCTGATAAGTGGAACAGCCTTTTCCTACTCTTATCAGGTAGAATTTTATTGTCAAGATAGCATTTAAGAGGTCAAATTTCACCCTGTTTCTTAGGTTAGATTTGATAAATTCACTCCAAATGAAAAACACTAGAAAAACATCTACCATCTAAACGTCAAAAACGCCATCTTCGCCAGGGACACAGATGAGTATCATTTATTTTATACATTAAGATTCCTATGTAG